AAAAAAAAGCAGGTAAGGCATCTATCTGTGAACAGCAGTGCCATTCATTCATGAATGTGTAAAGGTTACTCCGTGTCAGGCACTAGGGACAGGATGGCAAACAGGGCAGACAGGGCCCCTGACCTCTTCCGTCACCCTATAGTAGAGTGAAGAAAGATTTTGTTGTTGTTGTTTTTGAGACAGAGTTTTGCTCTTGTCTCCCAGGCTGGAGGGCAGTGGTGCTATCTGGGATCACTGCAACCTCCACCTCCCAGGTTCCAGCAATTCTCCTGCCTCAGCCATGTGAGTAGCTAGGATTAAAGGCATGCGCCACCATGCCTGGCTAATTTTGTATTTTTAGTAGGAACGGGGGTTTCACCATTTTGGCCAGGCTGGTCTCAAACTCCTGACCTCAGGTGATCCACCCATCTTGACCTCCCAAAGTGCTGGGATTACAGGCATGAGCCACCATGTCCAGCTAGATTTTAAATATTAACAAAACTGATTATTACTGTGAAAAGCACAGAGATAGAATAACATCAAAGAGGGGGAGCACCGCCACTTTAGGAAGCCAAGGAAGGGCTTGAGGAGGAGAAATTTAAGCAAAGATTGAAGGACATTAGGAGTCAGACCTGCCAGAGCAGGAGGGAATAGCATTCCTGGCGGAGGAAAAAGCTTGTTCAGAGACAAAGAACTGAAAGAAGCTTGTTTGAGGGACTGTAAGAAGACTAATATGCTTAAAGCATATGTCTAAAATCAGGTGTGTGATGAGTTTGAAGAGGCAGCTAGATCCCTGTAAGAATTTTAGAGGGCTTTTGGCAGGAGAGTGACATGATCTGATCTGACATATATTTTGAAAGGTCACTCTGGCTTCCAGGTAGCAGTGGGAGAAAACGTGCAAAAATTATTAGAGTTCCCAAACATAATTTATGTAGCATGGTGGCTTGGAGTACCACCGATTACAGTGGGGAGGGAGAGGAAGGAGCCCATTTGGGGTATATTTTGGAAGTGGAATAAACAGACCTGCTGGTAGATGGGGTAGGGTGGGTGAGTAAAAACGAGGAGCCACGGATGAGTCATGTTTCAGGCTGGAGTAAGGGAAGGCTGGGAAGACTAGTGGAGAAACAGGTTCAGAGAGAAAAGTCTCAGTCCCTTAGTCATTCACCTCAGTCCCTTAGTCACTGGAATACCTTAGATTTCTATTTACCATTTCTTTAAAAACATACGTGAGGCTGGTAGGCAGTCCAGGCTACTAGGGAGGCCGATGAGGGAGGATCCTTTGAACCTAGGAGTTTGAGGCGTACCTGGGCAACCTAGCAAGATCCTGTTTCTCTAACAATAACAACAACAACAACAAAACAACAACAACAAAATGTGTAGTAGGAAATTGCTGCCTGCTCAGCCTAAACTAACCCCAGATTTTAAAAATATAGATATAGGAAGAGTTCACAGAACAGGCAGCATCAAGCGGGAGCTGGGCGCTTCTTTTGATGCTGCATTTGATGAATACACACAGTTTTTACTCAGGTTATATGTTTGCTTAGATTTGGGCTAAAGATTCCCCAAAGCCGCCCCTTGGTATTGACACTCATTAAGAAATTAGGAATTGATAGTAACATTGAACTATTTTCCAACAACAAAGAAAAAAGAAAAAAACCCCATCAAAACCCCAAACAAATGGAATGTGATGTACGTTTTCCACGTTATTTTATACAGGAGCTATCTTTCCAACACTGAACCTGGTTTAGCAAGAAAATAATTAAAGATGTAAACGTGCAAGCCAAGAGCCAAAACCACTCTGAACAGCCCAAGGTTGTGAACTTATTTAATTTGTCCTTTCCCTGAGGAGTCATTTCTTGGATCATTGACTTATTATTATTCTGTAAAACAGTGGCAGCTCCTGCCTTCCTCCGCTTACTGCCAGAGTATGATCCAGCTGTGGGGTTTGAAGAGTTTATGTTTATTGGATTTTAATGACTTAGTTAACAAAGGTCATTCCTAAAAGTAATAGAAAACGAAGTGTGTGGAAACAGAATGGATAAGACTGACTCGAGGGTTATTTCTAGCAGTTCCTTGGTGTTGTCCTTAGATACATGTTTAATCCTTAGAAGCAATTATGAAGGATTCTTCCTCATAATCAATTTACTGATGCTATATTCAACTATATTTGTAAAATGTTATTTTAGACCCCTCAGTAACAAAAGGAACAGGGCTTAAAATATATTAGATAATACTGATATAAACAATGTATTGTTTACATAATATTGCTGACAGTATAAATGTAATTATGTAGAACTGTAATACTTGTTAATGTCACATTTGTGGCGCTTCCATTATCTTTGCCAGAAGGAAATAACTTCAGTCTAAGGTGAAATCTGGTTGGATGTGAATCTCCAAGTTAAGAGAAACCTCAGAGATCATTTAATATTGTCCTTTTAAATATTTACTATGAATGGTAGTAAATATCCAAATGATGTTTATTAGACTGTAAAAGAATTTCCAAGCTGGGTGTGCTGGCTCACATCCGTCATCTTAGCACTTTGGGAGAACAAGGCAGAAGGATCACTTGAGGCCAGGGGTTCGAGAACAAATTGGGCAACACAGCCAGACCTTACCTCTATTCAAAGTAAATCAAATAAAAAAAAATTATCTGGGTATGGTGTTCCACACCTACAGTCCCATCTTCTCAGGAGGCTCAGGTGAGAGGACTGCTTGAGCCCAAGAGTTCAGGGTTGCAGTGAGCTATGATTGCACCACTATACTCCAGCCTGGGGACAGAGCAAGACCCCATCTCAAAACAAACAAACTAACAAACGAACAAAAAACCAAAAACATAAATGATTATTTGAATTATTTAAAATTAAATTGATAAAATCATTTAAGACTACGGTGCCTCAAGCCTGTAATCCCAGCACTTTGGGAGGCTGAGGCGGGTGGATCATGAGGTCCAAGAGATCGAGACCATCCTGGTCAACACGGTGAAACCCCATCTCTACTAAAAATACAAAACATTAGCTGGGCATGGTGGCGCGTGCCTGTAATCCCAGCTACTGAGGAGGTTGAGGCAGGAGAATTGCCTGAACCTAGGAGGCGGAGGTTGCGGTGAGCCGAGATCGCACCATTGCACTCCAGCCTGGGTAACAAGGGCGAAACTCCGTCCCCCCGCAAAAAAAAATAAAATAAAATAAAATAAAAATAAAATAAAATCATTTAAGACTATATGAAAATAAATACATTTACAGTCATGCCCCAGGTATAAATTAAATATTTTCTACTTCAAAATCCAAAGACATGAGACATAAATGTATAGTTCACATACGTAATACATTCCTTACATGGTTACAGAGCCTTCCGGATCTGGCTCTGGTTGACTTTTCCGGCCTTATCTCATTTCTCCTCCCTCTTCCCAACCCAGTTTTTTCCTCCGCCTCTCCTTAGCTACAGCTTTACTAATCTTCCTACTGTGAGCCTCAAACCCACGCTGCTCTCAGGTCTCAGGGCCTATGTACAAGTAACTCCCACTGTCTAGAATCCCTTGCTCCCATTCGCTGCTGGGTCATTCTGCAGACCTAGTACTTCTTCCTCTTGGGAGACTTCTGTGCATCTTCTTTTCCCCCAATCTCCAAACCCCACCAAGACCTGAGTAGCTTTTGAACAAGTTTCTGCTTAGCTTTCCTGGGATGACCAAAACAAACACTGTCCTATCCATTGTTTAATTCTCAATCCCTAAAACAGAGCTGTAACATAGTAACTACTATAAGTGAACGAATGAATAAAGACAGTGAGCACTAAAGAACTTGAAGTTATGGTTCACACACGTAAATAATAACATAAATCTGAAGAAATAAAGTTGCTGTTTTTAAAAGATATATTTCAACTCACTTATTCTCTAAGGCAGGAATACACACAGCCTGGCATCAGCTTGACATAAGACAAATATTTGAGCATTTTTGTATGCTAAATTTATTTCACTACGTTGACAAAAATGTAGACTCCAAAGAGCTGTAAATGCAAATGACAAATACAGTACAAAAATCTATCAAGCAACTTTAAGTCACAACTTGTACGCTTTCTCCTCAGCAAATGAGTTAAAAGAAAAGGAAAAAGTATTTGAAACCTTCTTGCTGGAAAACGAATGACCTTTAAAAATGCCAACATTTTCCGCAGGAATAGATTTGGTCTGAGTACTTCATTTCTGAAATTGTACAAGAAAAGACGACCTAGTTTTGAGAATCAGATTGCATCCTTCCATAAAGGTTTTAGATCTTTTAAGTCTCCATACGAAACACTGCCCTTATTTTGAGAACAAAAGCAACAATAACACAGCTTAGGCAGGACAGAGAAAGAAGGGCCTTGGGACAAAGTCCCTGGAAAGGTAAAACAACAAAAACTGTTAAGTTAGAGCTCAAGTTAGATCTGGTAACTCCAAACTGCACGACTTTTGCCATCCATCAAAAGCAACATAGGAAAACAGAAAAAAAAATCATGAACATTTTTTGAATGTCCTAATTTGTAGAACCCCTAATAATGAATGAAATACACTTAGACAAAGCTCTTTTTTTCTCTAAGTCGTAGACTGGGGGTGTGAGGTGGGAGGCGGGGAGGAGGACGGGCTCTGTAATAAATACAAGACCCAGCCCCATGGCGTGTTTAACTGCTGACATTTTAGAAGAAGAATGAGCTATTTACAATTAATGAACCAAGCTACCAAAGTAACTAAAATTATGACAGTAGGAGGATTAGTAAACGGAACTGTCTGGGCGAAGTTTCAGGAAGGCGTACGCTGGGGGTGCTGCGCCCTCCCGCCCATACCTCGGGGCTCTCCCGTCTCCCCGGCTCCCCAGTGTAGATCCTCGGGCGCCGGCGGCCCAACCTCCAAAGCGCGAGGAGGAGACGCAAACCGTAGTTCCCTGTCCGAGTCGAAGCCAGCGGAGCTGCGCGCAGGTCGCCCACACTCGTTCCCGGGGAGCCCCAGCCAGGCCGCCCGCCCCGGCCCCAGCTCCAGCCCGGGCCTCCCTTACTCTGGGGCTCCATGGCCAGCTGCTCCCGGACCCCCGCGGGTGAGCCCCCGAGCTCCCAATTCCTCTCTTCCAGGGCCGGCGTCGCTACGGTTGCCCTGACAACCCGGAGGCGGAGTGGGCGGGACCAGAGGAACGGCGAGCGGGAGGGACCAAAAGCCGCAGGAAGTGAGGGCGCGCGTGAGAACCCGCGCGTCGCCGGGGGCACAGAGTGAGGGTGGCGGCCAGGTCACCGGCTGAGGACACCTCCCCTGAGGCCCGGTCAGGGGGTCGCGCCCTCCCTGGCGGCCCCCGCGGCCCCGCGGGACCTGTGCCCCGACGTCTGGGGTAGCGGGCTGCGGGCCCCGCAGTCGCCGACCCGCGGTGTCCGTCGGGCGAGCGGACCTGCCCGCAGGGAAGGCCGCCGGCCCTGGGCCTCCCTCCCGGGACCTGGGAGCCGCCGCTGCAGGTAACGGCGGGGCCCCGGCGGCGGAAGGGGTCGGGGGTCGGCCCAGGGGCGGGGACGACCCGAGCCGGGTGGGCGGCCCTGGAGCACCTGTTGCGGCCGCCTGGGGGCCCCCTGCCCGCGGTTGCCGCGGACGTTCCCAGCCCAGACCCCGACACGCCGAGGGCGGCCTCGTTGCCTCTTGCTCCGGGAGCCGCGCCTCAGCCGGAGGACGGAACCTGCGGGCAGCCCTCACACCGGGGGTCCCTCCGAGCCCGGGCGGGAGCCGGGCCTGGGGCGGTCCCTCGAGCCCCCCCGGACGGCAGCGTGGAGCGCTGCGAGCCGCCGGCGCCGTCGCTGTCGCCCCCAGTGGGCCGGGCGCGTCTGCTGAATCGCGAGCGCCAGGAGCCCGGCTTCGTCCGGCATTGCCTTGTCATCCCCGTGTCCCGTTTCAGGCCGGGGGCCCGGGTCGGATCATTCCGCCTGGCTTCGTTTTTTGTTGTTGTTTCAATCCACCGCGTTTCCGGTTGAGTTACGGAATCAGCCCACAGGTTTTGTAGCCAAACTTTGCAGGGCTGTGAAACAAATGTAACATTATTCCACACAATGGTCTTTCATATTGGTTTTAAAAAACAGTGATTCAGGGTTTGCTTTAAAGAAGATTTTAGGATCACAAGGGATTGTTATCTGGTAAGTTGTAAAAACTCAAACAACCGGGAGCGAATCGTAGGTTAAGGAAAGCCGGAAGGAGGAAAGAAAAATGGAGAGGAGGAGAGAAGAAAAAGGATAAGCAAGAAAGTGAAGGGGGCTTTGCGGGGTGGGGGGTGGGGGGTACAAGGGGTTGGGGGGGCTGTAGGATTGATTTAATACTCAGGTCTGGAGACTATGATCCTTCTATTAATTCCAGCCGCTGCTCCAGAGAGCAGTTGAGGGAAATGAAAGAGCCCTTTTCGGGGTCATGCAAGTGATTGATTACTCATCTTGCCACTAGAAAGATTTCCACTCCCTGGATGACAAGGACACCAACGAGAATTACTTTCCTCTTAGGAAGGGAATCATTCAAAGGTTAATTGAACTTGAGAAGCATATATTCTTTGATGAAAACTGACATTATATTATGCCAAATTAGGCTTTCCCCCCCTCTCAGACTATATGGGGACTTTTTCAGATTGTCAAAACAAGAAGGCTTATGTGTGGATATTGACAAGCAGCGTGATATATACAGAACACATAATTCTTAAGCTGAAGTATTAAGGTAATAATTTAAGGGTGGAAAGTAAACACTTCATGGAATCTTAACTACCTGTTCCTGAAATTCAGAGACAGGGGACTTCATTTTTAAACAAAGATCACTATCTAAAGAAGTAAAGATACTTCTGTGTCCAGTGGTTCTCAAGTTCTAGTTTACATATGATAAGCAAAATCACGAAGTGGTCATTTCATTCCAGATACAAGTAGAGTGATGCCCATCAATATCTCATAATCAAAAGTGACAGGGTAATAATTTTTAAAAAACACCTGGCACTTACTGACAAAAGAAGGTTGAATTAAGTCTGCTCAAACAATATTCTTATTTTAAAGCATTAGTATTCTTTAAAAAAGAAGAAACAGCAGTGAAGGTCTCTATGCTAAAGTAATCAGGACTAAAGAATTTGGTTTTAAGGTTGGAGAAAACGGGGTTATGTATTGGTGAAATATTTTGTAATCATACAGTGCTTATTTTATCAGTAGCTATGAAGTTGACTTTGAGGAAATTTTGAATTGAAATACTTTAGGTGACAAGTAAAGACAACTGTGAAAAGCAACATTTGATTTTAGGGAATGGGGTACCTATGGAAGAAGACTGGTTCCCTGTTGGAATTGAGGAGTAAAGGCACTAAAATATCTAAGGCAGGGACAACATTCAGTTTCTCTTCCTTCTAGCACCGAGTGCAATGTATGTGCTAAATGTTTGTTGAATGAATGAGAAGGACTTTAGAGAAATTGCTTTGGATATAGGGATACTCTTTACTATTGGAGAAAACAGCCGCCATCAGAAAGTTGCTAATGAGTTAGGGTGGGGGCGTAAAGACATTGATTGTACCTTTTTGGAGTTTTCTACCATTGTGCTTTATTTCTTTTCACTGGCATGTTCAGTCTGTTATTAGTAGTTAAAAGAAAACTATAAAGTTCTGTGTATATTTTTTAAGTCTCCAAACTCATTACTAGATAGAATAGTTACATTATTGTTTACTTTGCTAACAAAGTATCTAGTGGTTCTCAAGTTCCACTAAATGTTTAACTAAATGTAGCAAACTAAAGCATTATGGATAGGGAGTAACAATGAAGAGACAGATGTAGTCTTTTTCTTATTTAAATCTCTTGGCCACATCAGAATTCAAAGTAAAAATAACTTTAATCGGAGGTTAACATTATTTAAGGCAAATTGATAAAAAAAAAAAAAGTGTAGCAAATGAATGTGTTATCAATAGTTTTGTCTCCTAGCCTTACTGTGGTAAGTTGGAAGTTTCCGTTGTTTTTGTTGGTTTTAAGGTTTTTGTTTTCTTTACCAGAGTGAGGGTACTTTTTCCTGTCTCTCTGATACTTTCTTAAACTCTTAAGGAGTTCAGTTAAAGTTGGAGAACAATTAAATTTCTATTTTTGGTGTTCTACCTCTTTGTTCTCCAGACCTGTTATGGTCTACATTCAATTTGTTGCACTCACGTAGAATGTCTATCTCTCAACCCTTTACTCATCCATAATATAAAAGGGACTGCAGGACCATGTTGCCCCAGTTTCTATAAAGTCTTTCAGGATTAGGCTAATGCCCACTAAATGCACTTCTCTCTCCTACTGGGGGTGCCACACAATTTAGCATTTAACTCTATAGTATGCTTCCTTATAACATTTTATCTCTTTTCATGTGTATGGATCTTGTACCTCTGATTAGATTAAATATTTTTAGAGCTAAGTGTATGACTTATGCTTTTGTGTTGCTTTTAGCAAACAGTGGGCTTCACTGTGTACCTGATAATTTAAGTAGGGAAATAATAGAGAGGACAAATCTTTAGGGGTCATTGTGTTAATTTCTAGCTTTGCCCGTTTGGGAAAACCAGGAGCTATTATTGTGTCATTGATAACTTGGGATCATAAAACCTGCAATGGTTGTCTGATAGTCTAGTTGTGAGAATCAAGATAAATGTGATTATAGATATGAACAAAAATATCTTGTATATCATAATGAACTTTTTTAATGTAAAGGGCTGTTACTGACTTAGGCGTAGAGCAAACATTGATTCCACATTCACAATGTACTTCTGGGCTCTGGAATTGCAGATAATAAAGGGTGAACAGGAAATGACCAGGAGCTTCCGAAGCAGAAGAACAGCCTAGGCTGAGGCACGAAGGCAGGAGAACAACTAAGCAGTGGTTTATTGTGGCTGAAATGGAGAACACTTCATGTGTATTAGAAGAAAATGGGAGGAAGTAAGGCCAGTAAGGCAAATGTGGGCTAAATCAGAAGGCACCTAAGGACTGTGGGTTTATTTTCCTTTAAGGTAATAAGGAGGATTTGGGTCAGTGATTGGATCCATTTTGAAAAGGATCACTGGCAACACTCACATGACAGATTGGTAGAGAGCCTAAATGAGAGGCAAAAAAAAATGGAGATGTTGCTGAAGCTCAGTGAAGAAATGAAAAGATAACTAAGAAAGCGATGGTGGGAATAAGGAGGGGCCTCTGAAAGGGGTAGAATTGGCAGATCTTGGTGACACAGGAGATGAAGAACGAGAAGCCAGGGATGACAGTGGGTTGATACAGTAGATTGTTCTGCTATTCGCTGAACTCTGCAATGCAAAATAAGAAAAAAAAAATTTTTCTTTTGAGGAGTTTAAGAAGTGGGGTAGATGATGTATTCAGTTTGAGATACCTGTCATGTACATTAGACAGTCCCATAAGTAGTTGTGGTTGGACATGTGGGTCTGGAACTAAAGGAAAAAGTTTGAGATGAAGATAGAAATATGGATTAAGCATTTAGTAATTGAAGTTAAAATGTGATGATTTTCTCCAGGGGTATTAAGTGGAATAAGAGGGTAAAGGATAGAACCCTGAGGGTATGCACATTTTACATTGTGGGGAGAGGGGCTGATGGTGGAAGAACCCAGAGAGACCAAAGACCAGTGTTCAGAAAAGGGAGCTGCAAATTTGGGAGGATTAATGTAAGAGTTCCTGCTCCCGAGGAGTTCATGCATTGGCATTTCCTGAAATGATTATTTTCTCTATCCACCGTAGTATGCACCACATAGTTCATCTTTCTATTATTGTTCTATTAAAGTTAATGTAAAATGACTACCCATTACTTTGTTAACAGCAACAGAAATCTTTATGTGTTAAAACATTAAAAAAAATTTTTTTTTTAGATACAGAGTCTTGCTACATTGCCTAGGCTAGTCTGGAGCTCCTGGCCTCCTCCTGCCTCAGCCTTCCAAAGTGCTGGGATTACAGGCATGAGCCACCATGCCTGCTGCTATTTATGGGTTTTTTGTCTCCGCTTGGGACAACAAATCAAGTAAAATACAACTTTAGAAGTTGATCATGATCATGCCTCAAGCAAGTACTTATTAAAGAGAGAGAGAGATCAATAAAGTTCATTTTGTATATGTCTCAGATAAAACATGTTAACTTGGGGAGACCAACAGTAGCCTGTGCTTTAAATCTCAGCTTTTATTGAATCTCACACTTTTTCTCAAATATCTTA